TATTAACTTTCGGAAGAAAGAAAGAAAGAAAGAAAGAAAGAAAGAACAAAAGAATTAAAAATATGGAAAATCAAAGAAATGTAAAAAGAAAGAAAGAAAGGAATAAACTAAAATTGTATAAAATCGATGAAATGCATAGGAGAAAAAGAAAGAAAGAACACAATAATCAAAAATATAGAAAATTAAAGAAATGCATGAAAGAAAGAACAGCACAGAACAGCATAATTAACAATAGAGGAAATCAAAGTAATGCATAAAAAAGAAAGACAGGAAGAAAAAAAGAAGGAATAAACTAAAATTGTATAAAATCGATGAAATGCATAAGAGAAAGAAAGAAAGAAAGAAAGAAAGAAAGAATTAAAAATATGGAAATCAAAGAAATGTAAAAAGAAGGAAAGGAATAAAACTAAAATTGTATAAAATCGATGAAATGCATAAGAGAAAGAAAGAAAGAAAGAAAAAAGAAAGAAAGAAAAATATGGAAATCAAAGAAATGTAAAAAAGAAGGAAAGGAATAAAACTAAAATTGTATAAAATCGATGAAATGCATAAGAGAAAGAAAGAAAGAAAGAAAAAGAAAGAATTAAAAAATATGGAAATCAAAGAAATGTAAAAAGAAGGAAAGGAATAAACTAAAATTGTATAAAATCGATGAAATGCATAAGAGAAAGAAAGAAAGAAAGAAAGAAAGAAAGAATTAAAAATATGGAAATCAAAGAAATGTAAAAAGAAGGAAAGGAATAAACTAAAATTGTATAAAATCGATGAAATGCATAAGAGAAAGAAAGAAAGAAAGAAAGAAAGAATTAAAAATATGGAAATCAAAGAAATGTAAAAAGAAGGAAAGGAATAAACTAAAATTGTATAAAATCGATGAAATGCATAAGAGAAAGAAAGAAAGAAAGAAAGAAAGAAAGAAAGAAGAGAATAATTGAAGAAGAATCGTAGAAAATCGATGAAATACGCAAAAGAGAAAGAAAGAACCAAATAATTAAAAAATAAACATAAATCAGTAGAAATACATAATAGAAAGAAAGAAGGAAAGAAATTAGTGAATAATTTATTAACGAATCATGAAGAAACAGCAAGAAAAGGAAGGAATGAATGACTGAATGAATGAATGAAGGAATGAATGAATGAATGAAGGAAGGAAGGAATGAATGAATGAAGGAAGGAAGGAAGGGAGGAAGGATGGAAGGAAGGAAGGAAGGAAGGAAGGAAGGAAAAGGGAAGAGAAACGGGGAAAATGTATGAAAATAAGAATACAAAAGGATATTGAGTAAGAAGGAGCGAGATATATTGATTGGATAAAGAATGAGAAAAATGAAATGAAAGAACAATATGAAAGAAATCAAATTCGACACAAAGGAAGAAAAAGAATGAAAGTCAAATAATGAATGAGTGAATAAAAATCACATATTCAATGAATGAAAGACGTAACAAAAAAGGCATGTAGAATGAAAAGAAAGATACATTTATGGAAAAGAAAGAAAGAAAGAAAGAAAGAAAGAAAGAAAGAAAGAAAAAGACTCATTTACTGGAATAAAGACAGAAATGAAGTCTGTTAAGAACTGCTCTCGTGCGAACTGAGATTTTCTCAAGATATCTTTGGTCTCTTAAGAAAAATATTGCCTTTCCTTCGGCCCTTAGGTAGTTACATATGTAGGGATTCCCGCCGAGGGCCAGACCACAGCTTGCCGTCATCCATCCACCCAAACCATGAACCAAGGTACTTTTGAATCGTTCCCAAATTATCCTGCCTCTGGGGGACGCGACGCAGCGATAAGTTTTAAAGCAGTGAGTATGACTCAAAATTAGTTGGGAATTCATAGCTGGGTAAGGTAGATAGATAGATAGATAGATAGATAGATAGATAGATAGATAGATAATATTCACAGTCAGTCTCAGTTTCAGATAGATATGAAAAGACTGAGATAGATAGATAGATAGATAGATAGATAGATAGATAGATAGATAGATAGATAGATATTCACTGTCAGTCAGTCTCAGTTTCAGATAGATCTGAAAAGACTGAGATAGATAGATAGATAGATAGATATATAGATAGATAGATAGATAGATAGATAGATAGATAGATAGATAGATAGATAGATAATATTCACAGTCAGTCTCAGTTTCAGATAGATATGAAAAGACTGAGATAGATAGATAGATAGATAGATAGATAGATAGATAGATAGATAGATAATATTCACAGTCAGTCTCAGTTTCAGATAGATATGAAAAGACTGAGATAGATAGATAGATAGATAGATAGATAGATAGATAGATAGATAGATAGATAGATAGATATTCACTGTCAGTCAGTCTCAGTTTCAGATAGGTATGAAAAGACTGAGTTAGATAGATAGATAGATAGATAGATAGATAGATAGATAGATAGATAGATAGATAGATATTCACAGTCAGTCTCAGTTCCAGATAGATATGAAAAGACGGAGATAGATAGATAGATAGATAGATAGATAGATAGATAGATAGATAGATAATATTCACAGTCAATCTCATTTTCAGATAGATATGAAAAGACTGAGATAGATAGATAGATAGATAGATAGATAGATAGATAGATAGATATTATTGTAAGTCAGTCTCAGTTTCAGATAGATATGAAAAGACTGAGATAGATAGATAGATAGATAGATAGATAGATAGATAGATAGATAGATAGATATTCACTGTAAGTCAGTCTCAGTTTCAGATAGATATGACAAGACTGAGATAGATAGATAGATAGATAGATAGATAGATAGATAGATATTCACTGTAAGTCAGTCTCAGTTTCAGATAGATCTGAAAAGACTGAGATAGATAGATAGATAGATAGATAGATAGATAGATAGATAGATAGATATAGAGATAGATAGATAGATAATATTCACTGTAAGTCAGTCTCAGTTTCAGATAGATATGACAAGACTGAGATAGATAGATAGATAGATAGATAGATAGATAGATAGATAATATTCACAGTCAGTCTCAGTTTCAGATAGATATGAAAAGACTGAGATAGATAGATAGATAGATAGATAGATAGATAGATAGATAGATAGATAGATAGATATCACAGTCAGTCTCAGTTTCAGATAGATATGAAAAGACTGAGATAGATAGATAGATAGATAGATAGATAGATAGATAGATAGATAGATAGATAGATAGATAGATATTCACTGTCAGTCAGTCTCAGTTTCAGATAGGTATGAAAAGACTGAGATAGATAGATAGATAGATAGATAGATAGATAGATAGATAGATAGATAGATAGATAGATAGATAGATAGATATTGATATTCCCAGTCAGTCTCAGTTCCAGATAGATATGAAAGACGGATAGATAGATAGATAGATAGATAGATAGATAGATAGATAGATAGTATGCACAGTCTCAGTTTCAGATAGATATGAAAAGACTGAGATAGATAGATAGATAGATAGATAGATAGATAGATAGATAGATAGATAGATAGATAGATAGATAATATTCACAGTCAGTCAGTCTCAGTTTCAGATAGATATGAAAAGACTGAGATAGATAGATAGATAGATAGATAGATAGATAGATAGATAGATAGATATTCACAGTCAGTCTCAGTTCCAGATAGATATGAAAAGACGGAGATAGATAGATAGATAGATAGATAGATAGATAGATAGATAGATAGATAGATAGATAATATTCACAGTCAATCTCATTTTCAGATAGATATGAAAAGACTGAGATAGATAGATAGATAGATAGATAGATAGATAGATAGATAGATATTCACTGTAAGTCAGATAGATAGATAGATAGATAGATAGATAGATAATATTCACAGTCAATCTCAGTTTCAGATAGATATGAAAAGACTGAGATAGATAGATAGATAGATAGATAGATAGATAGATATTCACTGTAAGTCAGTCTCAGTTTCAGATAGATATGACAAGACTGAGATAGATAGATAGATAGATAGATAGATAGATAGATAGATAGATAGATAGATAGATATTCACTGTCAGTCAGTCTCAGTTTCAGATCGATATGAAAAGACTGAGATAGATAGATAGATAGATAGATAGAAGCAGATTAGGGGGAGAGATTGAGAAATGAAATAATGATTTAATTGTAGAATTAAATTCACTCACATTCGTTCAAATGAGCTAAAGAACGTAGAAAGTAATTTCAAATGCCAAAGTTAATCAAATTCGAGTTATTACTCTAGACTTATAATCTGGCAACGAGGTTTACAGCCCCTTGCTTCAACAATTGAGCTACATTCATAAAATCATTTCGACACTTCAGTATACGTGGACGTCTCATTGATGCGTTCTTTTTACATTTAATAAGATCTTTTCTTTTTATGTGCCGTGTCTTTTCAGGACGTAGGCGATCATAGCCCTCCACTTCTCCCTATTCTTTGTGGTTCTCAACAGGTTTTGTGTTTCTGCCAACTCCCCCAGACCACACTTCGCCATCCACCTGCCCAAACCCGCCCCGTATATCATTTGCTGCGTTCCCCTGTGTCTTTTCCCCTCTATTCGTTCCGTGAGTATCAGATTCTCCAGGCCCTCTTTTCTCATCGCGTGTCCCAGAAATTTCATCTGCATCTTACTTAGTTAAGCATAAGCTTCCTCCTTGTTTGCATCTTCTACAAGACCTCACCGTTGCTCACATGCTCGGTCTATGATATCCTCAGCATCCTTCTGTAGAACCACATCTCCGCCGACTGGAGTCTCTTCTTCATCCTTGCGGATACCGGCCAACATTCGCTGCCGTAGCAGCTCAGTACTCTTTTCTTTGTCCCCATAGAAATCCTCCTGTTTCACAATACTTTACCTGGCTTCTGGAACTCATCCTTGGCCATTCCAATCCATCTTCGTATCTCAGATGTCAGACTGTTGAGGTCTTCAGACGAAGTATTTTTAACTGCGGGATAAAAACTCACCCTGGGGCTAGATTTTTAACTAATTTCTACGGAAAACCTAAAAGGATTAGTCGACCAGATTTAGCGTCACTTTGACCCTTGCTGGGTCATTTAGTGTCGAATTCAGTCCCTACAATGTAATGGGCATCGGCCTGGGACGTAGACTCAAAATTCATGTCTTTTACGTTGGCTTCCACACAAATGCCCTCTTAACGTCCGCATACATAGACTAAATAGCGGAGTAAACAGGACTGCCTAGACTTGGGTCGGAATTAGTCTAAGAGAATGACGAATCTCAATTCCAATCTCTGCAGAAGGCAACAGGAAAGAATTCACCATCTTTATCAGGAAGTCATGTCAATTGACAGATAATAACAAGGGGAAGCTGTGGAGAGTCGTGATCCTCTGCGCCCTGATGGAGGATGCCATATAAACAAGAGTACCTCCAAATTTTAACATCCCTCTCTCTCTCTCTCTCTCTCTCTCTCTCTCTCTCTTTCATCTCTCTTTTTCTCTTTCTTTCTCTCTTTCTCTCTCTCATTTTCTGACTCTCTCTCTCTCTTTCCCCACAATCTTTCTCTAATGTCTATCTTTCTCTCACTTTCTTTCTCTGGTTTTCCCTCTCTCTCTCTTTCCCACTCTCTCTCTCTCTCTCTCTCTTCTCATTCTTTCTCACTATCTTTCTTTCATTTCCATCTCTCTTTCTCACTCTTTTTCTTTCATCAATATCTCTCTTTCTCTCTCTTTCTTTCTCTCGTTTTCCTCTCTCTTTCTCACTGACTCTCATTCATTTCTCTCTCTCTCTCTCTCTCTCTTTCTTTCTTTCTGACATCTCTTTCCCCCCTTTTCACTTAAAGGAGGAGAACTCTCATTACCTCATCTCCTTCTATATAATAAATGCCAATGTCAGTGTCCCACATTTTTAATTAAAGGGACACAACTCTTATCTCCTTAGTAGAACTTTTAAAAGATTAGCTTTCAGATAGATATGAAAAGACTGAGATAGATAGATAGATAGATAGATAGATAGATAGATAGATAGATAGATAGATAGATAGATATTCACTGTAAGTCAGTCTCATGATAGATAACAAGACTGAGATAGATAGATAGATAGATAGATAGATAGATAGATAGAGAGATAGATAGATATTTCAGTCTCAGTTTCAGATAGTGAAAAAGACTGAGATAGATAGATAGATAGATTAGATAGATAGATAGATAGATAGATAGATATTCACTGAGATCAGTTTCAGATAGATGACAAGACTGAGATAGATAGATAGATAGATAGATAGATAGAGAGATAGATAGATAATATTCATAGTCAGTCTCAGTTTCAGATAGATATGAAAAGACTGAGATAGATAGATAGATAGATAGATAGATATGCAATACTTTAATGCAGTGATTAATTTTTAGTTCTTCTGTAGTTTATTACTGCTTATCGCATCTAATCCTCGCTACCTATTGTGATGAAGGCCAATCAAGGGCCCTCCGCAGGAACTAGCTTAAATGCGGCCCGATAGGACGGTTTTAAATGCCATAAACAACTGTTATCAAATACCAGAATAAAGAATTGTTATCAATACCTGGTTACCGTGTGTTTTATTATTGTACTGAGAGCATTTGCAGATTTGCTTTTTCACATAACAGGGTTTTTTTTTTAACCCGAGTAAAAATTTCTGAAAACATGTAATTGTGCATAGTGCAACCCACCTTTTTTGCCTTTCATTTTTTTGTAGTAAAATTTATCGTATTATACACAAGCAAATATGATAACTTCATACCACTTTTTAATGGCTCAAGTGGCTGAGTGGTTAGAAAATACACGCCCCAACCATGATACCGGTGTTCTAACAATTAACACTATTTACATTTTTCGGACGGTTGACCTATTTTTATTATCGTATTCACGACGTTTCGGCTGCTGTACGCTCCAGCCTTCTTCAGGTGATATACGTTGGAATTTAGAACCGAACCTTTTATTTCGTTCACGGGATAGATTTGCTCTAGTTCCACGTGCCATGCCTTTTCTGGATCTCTCAGTTTCTGTTATTTCCCTTTAATAACTCAAAACTCCAAGTTTGTTTAGTTTTGTTTTGTTTTTTGGAGTTTTTTTTTTTTTGGTGGAGGGGGGGTCGGTCACCTCTGCTACGAACTGGTATTGAACTCATAGCTCCAAGGACACATGATGCAATGGATAAAAGCGTTCGTTGAACTAATCCAATGACTTGACCCAAAAGTTGTGAGTTCAATACCTGGCCACGGTAGAGGTGAACACAAGAAAATTTTAAAAAAAAACTTGGGAAATTGAGTTACTAAAGAGAAATAACTAAAACAAAATGATTTTACCTTTTTCTCTTCATAGCTGAATAACTGAAAGTAGTTTTCAGCGATTCTTACGACAACTGGTGACAAGATAGATAAAACTCTTATCTGAAAACCTGGAAAAAAGGAACTCAAATAGGTTAGTGGCTTTTTAGATATTAAACATCTTATGGGATGTAAAAGTATCCCATGCTGTTACGCAATTTAGACAATTTATCTGTTCCACCCGGTATATTACTGATTTTACATGTACGCAAATGTATACCATTTGTTTTAAATTACTTATCTAGTTCGAAGATAGCTATTTTTTGTCTGTTTTTTTAGTGACATATCAAAATCTTTATGGGTCATTTAATGCCGAAATTTAATTTTCTTGGGAGCATTAATAATTTCTTTTACAGAAATTTATTGTATTGCTAGTAATTTATTTTACTATGAAAATGTATTGCTGATATTTTTACTATAAAACGTTTTATACTTTCATAGTGTTTTGACCCGAGGTTAATTATTTGCCCATAGCTGGGACCCTAACAGGTGCTACTACCCCGGGTCAGGCTGGAGCTGGAAACAACAGTAATTAAGAGGTGGTTCCGCGCTCCACAAAATCTCCCAATCAGAGGTCTTGCTGCCGGATGTAGTTTATCGTCATACCCAGGACGGGAGATTTGGTCCTTAATTATAGAATTCAAAAAAGAAAATAAATAACAAAAATTAACGGTTTTTTTTTTGGTTTTTTCATTATTAAAATATTTTTTTAATTATTGCTAATCAGGTTCGGCATGTCAAGTCTTCTTGATATTAATCAATAGACGAAAGTTGATTAGCTTTTGTATTATTTTCCATTTGTTTCAATTAAATCCCGTTAATTTTAAAATTAAATTCGTGTTGGGAAAACAAGCTCGGAAATAGTCTTGAAATTAGTCGAAGACTTCAGGAACCAGCTTGGTATTCTCTGATAGAACGAGCGAGGAAGAATTTCTTTTTTTTTCTGAGGGGAAGTCACGAAGGAAAAACGCATCAGTGAAAAGAAATGTGGAAGAATTGAGATAAAAATAAACAAAGAAAGAAGAGGGTATAGAAAAATCAAAGAAAAAGATTGTTAAAAAGAAAGGAATGAACAGCTCATGATGAATAAGTGATTGAATGAAAGAAGAAAAGACAGAGAAACTTGGAAAAGAATGTTAATGAGTGATTTTAATAAAATATGGCAAAAAAATGAACGTATATTTAAAAAAGAAAGAGAGGAAAACGCAAAATCTGAAGGAAGAAAGAAAGAAAGAAAGAAAGAAAAGATGAAAAAGAAAGAAAGAAGCAAGAAAAAAGAATGATAAATAATATCATTTCAGAAAAAAAAAGAAAGAAAGAACCAATGAAAATAATGATAAATAAAAAAAAATCATTCATAAAAGGAAAGAAAGAAGAAAAACGAAAACAACAAGCAATGATAAAAGAAAGAAAGAAAGGAAGACGAAAAACGAAGACAATGAGCAATGATAAAAGAAAGAAAAAATGAAAGAAAGAAACAATGAAAGAATAAAAACGAAGCTAATGACCACTGATAAACGAAATAAAGAAAGAATGAATTAATGAATGAATGAAAGAATGAAAGACGAAAAAACGAAGGCAATGAGCAATAATAAAATAAAGAAAGATTGAAAGAAAGAAAGAAAGAAAGAAAGAAAGAATGAAAGAAGAAAATGAAGCCAATGAGCAACGATAAAAGAAAGAAAAAAATGAAAGAAGAAAAAAGACAACGATAAAATGATAAAAAAGAAAAAAAAAATGAAAGAAAAAAATGAGCAACGATAAAAGAACAAAGAAAGATTGAAAGAAAGAAAGAAAAATGAAAGAAGAAAATGAAGCCAATGAGCAACGATAAAAGAAAGAAAAAAATGAAAGAAGAAAAAAGACACTGAACAATGATAAAAGAAAGAAAAAATGAAAGAATAAAAACGAAGCCAATGAGCAACGATAAAAGAAAGAAAGAAAGAAAGATTGAAAGAAAGAAAGAAAGAATGAAAGACGAAAACGAAGCCAATGAGCAACGATAAAAGAAAGAAAAAAAGAAAAGAAAGAAAGACAGAAAGAAAATGGAAAAAAACGAACACGATTAGAAATAATAAAAGAAACAAAGAAAGAAAGAATGAAAGAAAAAGCTGGTTCATTTTGTAGAGAAACAAAAGAAAAAATGGCAACTGAAATAAAGAACAAGGTGTATTAAAATACACAAATAAATCGTCATTGAATTAATAAAAAAATACTTACAATCATAACTACTCAGTTGCGGAGCAAAACATCTCCGTCTTTTGTTCGATAATGAAGATTCTAAAACCAAACCATTCGAGTCGCGAGTGGATGTCGAATTTAATAAACTGGACAAAAAAATAACGAGAAAAAGAATAATCATAGAAAAAAGACTGTCGGGCAGGATGAAGGGAAAAAATGTAAAAAATCATTCAATTATTTTATAAAAACGGCCTGCGCGTCCAGCATAGTTTCGGCGCATGAGCAATGAAGAAAGTTAGTAATTTTCAGATCGAGATGTAAAGTCGATCTTCGTCTAGGGCCAAAATTCTCGCCCCGAAGCCTCTGCAGATGGTATCGGCCAAGGCTATCTGAGGGGTAGGCCAACAGCCAGTAGCGGAAATCAATTCTGTTAATCCGAAGATCAACACGTCTTTCTGGATATTGCCACATGGATTTGGAAAACTAATTAACAGGACGTGTCATTTGATTGAACACTCATTTTGTTTCAGATTAACTGATAATAAATATGGAATTTGGAAGCTTCGATTTTAAAGAAACAGAAAATGTCTTTGGAGAGAAAATTGTCATTGGTTCGTAACCCCCATGAGGGAATAAGTTTTTTGTTTTTTTTGATTTTACAAGAATTTAAATCCTCAAATCTAAGGTTTAATAAAACGAACAATGAAAGTTTGTTTTTGTTGTTGTTGTTTTTTTTAGTTGTTTTTTTGTTTTGTTTTTTTTTTTGTGTGTTTTTGGTGTTTTTTTTTTTGTTTTTTTTTGTATTCATATTTTATTCTTTTTTTTTTTCCAGAAATAAATAAGTAACCAAACAAGAAAAAAATGGAAATAAAGAATAGAAGTGTGGGGTGGGGATAAAATCAAAAGAAAGAAAGATTCGCATAAGAAAGGCTTCTGATATGAGGGAAATGAAAGAAACAAACAAACAATAGTGAAAGAAAGAAAGAAAGAAAGAAAGAAAGAAAGAAAGAAAGAAAGAAAGAAAGAAAGAAAGAGAAAAGAAAAAGAAAGAAAGTCTTGACTATTAGACAGAAAAGCTAAAAAGAAAAAGGAAAAAATTGTTTTGAAAGAAAGAAAGAAAGAAAGAAAGAAAGAAAGAAAGAAAGAAAGAAAGAAAGAAAGAAAGAAAAAAAAAGGTTTACCATATTAGAGAGCAAATACAATTAAATAGGAAGGAGGGAAGGAAGGAAGGAACGAACGAACGACCGAAGGAAGGAAGGAAGGAAGGAAGGAAGGAAGGAAGGAAGGAAGGAAGGAAGGAAGGCAGACAGGCAGGCAGGCAGGCAGACAGACAAGAAGGCAGGAATGAATGAAGGCAGGAAGGAAGAAAGGCAGGCAGGTTGCCTTTTAGTGAAAAAAGACAAAACCAAAGAGAAAGGAATTGTTTTGGGACAAAGAAAGAAGGAAAAACTTCAAAGGAAAAGGCGAAAAACTTAAGTAAAGCAATTTGAAGATAATATTAATATTATGGATTACCTCATACCCTTAAAATGTTCAGATCCTTAAAAACGTAGACAAATATTCCTCATATTAAAGTCTTTGACAAATTCCGATAATTTAGCATGTCTAACATCGGCATCATCAAATGTGATCTAAGCTCTATTTTTCAAAACGTAGTATTCTGTGGTTGAAACCTAACTACTCCATCTCTCTCTCTCTCTCTCTCTCTCTCTCTCTCTCTCTCTCTAAATCGATAATTAGAATTTAAAATCAACATATATTTTATAATTATAATTATTGTGCAACTTTCAAGACGAACAGATAATATCCAAATTTCTGATCCATACAGTAGGACTGGTTCAATCAATGGTCGAAAGGTTTGGACATTTAAAAAGAGTGGAAGGTTCAAGCGCCAAATCTTGTGAAGTTTGTTACACGCCAACCTCCCAAACCCCAACCCGTGCAAGAGCTTTGCTGATGCTGTAGTCTCTTTTGGAAGCTTTTATTTGAGATCCAAAATATTTGAAGTCCTCAACTCTTTTGATAGATGCGCTATTGAGTGACTTCAACCGGATGGTTCGGAGGAAGTTGTGATATATTCTGTCTTACTCACCTTGCAATAGAGACCTACCTGGTTCGCTATTTGCAACGAGTGATTGCAGCAAAGGATTCTGCATCCTTGCTACATTGAGAAATTAATGCAAGATCATCGGCAAATTCAAGTCAGGTATTGTAGAGGTATAAACCTCTATTCCTCTAAAATAAGGAATAGAGGAGATATCCCCAAACATTCTCCGTGGAACGAAAATAATCTACTCCACACTGCAACTCCCATCCCACTGAGGATTTCACTTCTATGTCGATATGGTCTTTCCTCTTAATAATAAGATAAACATTTTCACGATAAAACTTTGTTTTTATTAAGTTTCGGACTTTTTTTCGTCATTATATGCTCTTTTTTTCAACCCTGAGTCCCGAACTATGGTGTCTGAGAAAGTCAATTTTCGTGAGAAGACACTTCCAGAAGGATGCCGTCGAAGTAAGGATGAGATAACCTTCCGGTCAGTTCGGTGGCAGTGGCCGGCAAACCTTAAACGTTTTTGCTTGAGCTTAAGAAAGATTGGTCTCAGCTCTCCGTAAATTGTGTTAAGCACAAATATATAGCAAGAGCACGGGCCATATGTGGCAGCAATATTCAAAGCATTATAAATGGGGAGGGGGTGTCCGATGGGGGGTCCGATGGGGGGTCCTCCTAATTTTCCATTGGAGGTAGTGTGGAACGTTAACAGCTTTTATTTAATCATTTCATCCCAATCAATGCAATAAAGTTACTAAGACGCACGGGGTTACTGAGTGTTAGGGAATATGAGATAAAAAAAACACTATTAAGAAGACAGAGTAATAAAAGAAGAAGAATTAAGAAGACAGAAGATAACGATTGACATTGCATTTAAAATTTTCAAGATAAAAGTCGACTAGGAAGCAAGAAGAAATGTTCACACGCGAGAAGTGCGAAAAAAAGTGTTAGCATAGTAAGAAAGTGTTTGCAAAGAACTTATGATTACATCTAGCTATTTCAACTGTAAAGTGATGAGACCTAAGTGCCAATCTAGTACTGTGCTTAAATCCATAAAGTCTAGGTACCGGAGAGGAGAGTTTACCCTAACAATTACCATGAAAGTATTTATAGAAGCTACATTACGGTGAATGAAGCCGAGATGCCAGGACAGGATCAATAATTCCTCCTCACACCTTTTGGTCCTGTATTGCTGTCCCCAGATCCTCAATGATCAATCCTGAGTCGCGAGATATGGTGTCTGGGAAAGTCAGTTTTTTGTGAGAAGACACTTCCAGAAGGATGCCGTCGAATTAAGGATGAGATAACCTTCCCACCAGTTCGGTGGCAGTGACCGGCAAACTGCAATCGCTTTTATTTGAGCTTAAGAGAGAGTGGTCTTAGTTCTCCGTAAATTGTGTTAAGCATTGCATGGGATCTATAACTGATGTTCTGAACTTTTCTAAGTAGTTTTTCAAGACAAACAGAAAATGAACAAGTTTTTGATTCATACAGTAGGAGAGGTTCAGTCAGTGTTCGAAAGTTTGGGAATTTTAGGGAGGATGGAATCGCCAAATCTTGTGAAGTCTGTTACACGCATCCCATGCAAGAGCTTTACGGGCGTTGAAGTCTTCTTGGGAATCTGTTATGTGAGATCGAAGATATTTGAAGTCCTCAACTCTTTTGATGGATGTATTATTGAGTAACTTCAACTAGGATGGTTCGGAGGAAGTTGTGATATATTCTGTATTACTCACATTGCAAAAGAGACCCTGCCTGGTTGCACGAGTGATTACAGCAAGGATTCTGCATCCTTGATACATTGATAAATTAATGCAAGATCCTCGCAAAGTCAAAGTCAGTCAGGTATTGTTTAGCGTACCATTAATCTGGCGAGTTTTCAAAAGAAGTCCTTTTACCTCCATGTTGTCAAGAGAAATACGTAGTGCAGAACAACTAAAAAACAACAGAAAAGGTGCGTGTGTCACCTTGTAGAACTCCTGCTTTAACTTCAAAGGAATCAGTCTAGCCGTCAGGCGATACAATGATAGCAGATGTGTTTCTGCACAGAGTTGTAATTGCCTCAACAATTCTGAAGGAGATACCCTAGAGTTGGAGGATTTTGAAAATGAGATCTCTGATGCCATATATGAGCAGGAGCTTATCCATTCTTCAGTTTCCAGTCCCAACAGAGTCCAAAATCATCTCTGCGTCCTTGTGGGTGATGAACTATTTTCAAACAACCCCTCTCACGCAGACAAAACGTCGCAAGCCACGCGTTGCTCTATCTAATTTCTATGGAAAGGATTCAGACGAACAACATTCCTTAGAGCATCTAATACCTAACACGCCACTCAAGTTGTAGCGAACCACCTTCATTCCATTCGTATTACTTTGGTTACATTCCACTCGACCAGCTTCTTTCCACGAACCGCTGCTTTATGGAACCAACTCCCAGAGCCCTATAATCTTAACCTGTTAAAGTCTAAGACTAACCGTTATCTTTCCTATCCGCATAAACTGTGCATCTTAATCTTTAACCCTCTACCTCGAGTGGTTCTCAGGCCATATAAAATTATTATTTTTTAAATCTAGAATGCGTGAATTTATTTTAGAAATGTATTTTAACTCGGACTTTCGACGTTTTTGTTGTCCTTTACATTAAGATGCTAAAAGGACGAATCTAATGTTATCTATGTTCTGATCCAGTTGGGGGAAATGTGCTAATACAGTGAAATCGATGCTGTTGTCTTTGGTAGTTTTCTTATCGTTATTAAACCGAAAAACACAATTCCGTACTGTTTCACCGATACAATTTCTTGGTTTGCATTTGTTGTAATAAAAAAAAAAAACATAAATAAATACATAACACTTGAACTGTCACAAGTCAAGAGTAGGGTCTGATAAGTATATATGTGCCAGGTAGCATAAAAATACCATCGGTGATAATGTTTACAAACTTGGTTCCGGGGTTTATTATGCATGGGATAATAATACAAGACAAAATGTACTTAGAAAAAAATGTATTGAAACAAGAAAGTGTACACAATATTTACATATAGTCTTTTATATATTCTTGGGAAGACCGTTCCTGGAGAATGTGTTGACTTAGTCGCAGTCGGGCAGAGTCTCTGGATTGAATCTCTTGATTCCTTCCTCTCTTCCCGGTACCAACCATATTTATATGGTCGGTACTCCACTATGCAAATTAGGTGGATCCTACCACAACAATTACACGTTACGTTTCCTTGGTAAGTGTGTGATTTATGTAGTCTAGATGATGCAAGGCAGTGATTCTTAACCGCCGAGCCACGGCACACAAGTAAGTGTTCCGCGAAATGTAGAAAAAATTGCGAAAAGAAGACCCCCACCAGGAACAGCTTTCATTCTAAATAAGCTATAGTAACATTAAAATAAAGTAAGTTTATATTTGTGTCTGCATGGGCACCTCGAGGTGGTGTAATGGTTAGCAAGCTCGTCTTGCTAGAACAATTACGACTAACTAGTGAGTTCGATCCTCACTAGGTACCCCATACATTCGGCCTTGTGCCACATCTGAGCTACGCTTGGAAATTTACTATTTGGGCACCTCGACGTGTTGTAATGGTTAGAAAGCTTGTCTTGCTACATCAATTACGACTGAATAGTGAGTTCGATCCTCACTGGGTGCCCCATACTTTCGTCCTTGTGCCACATCTAAGCCGGGCTTAGAAAATCACTATATTTGTGTCTGCATTTTTTTAATTCTATGGTTTTATTCCAGAACGTTTAGATGTATACCCTTTAAAATTTTTCCTAAGTGAGGGTCTGCTTCTCGCACATTCAACCAAACATTGAAGAAATCACAGAAAAACACCAGACACAGGTTTCACACTAAATAAGCTGCACAAATAGCTGAAAAGAAACATTGAAATAAAGTAAGTTCATATTTGAGTGTATATTATGAAAAAATTGTATGGTTTTATTTCATATCATTTAAATCTATGCCCTTTAAAAATTTTGCGAAGTGTATCGTGATATTTTCATTTTCCCCTAGGTGTGCCATTGCTTAAAAACTTAGAGAAACACTGATGTAAGGAGTTAATGTAGATTTTGGGGCTGTCGCCTGGCGTCAAGTGGGGTCTCACTAAATATAGTCTTAATTGTGTGGTCAAGTTTTATGCAATGGTTAGTATATATCCAATCTTAGTTCTCAATCAACAGAGAAAAATTCAAGATCAATGAGAAACTGGTTCAGGAAAATTGCACAAAAAACGCGCAAGAGAAATAAAAGCTCAAGATGATGAAATGACAATTTTGTCAATTTAAAATAGTTCTGTTATATAGGAAGATATGAAATATAGGAAGATATATATGAAATATAGGAAGATATGAAATATAGAGAAATATATATGAAATATAGGAAGATATATATGAAATATAGGAAGATATGAAATATAGGGAGATATATATGAAATATCGGAAGATATATATGAAATATAGGAAGATATGAAATATAGGAAGATATAGGAAGATATGAAATATAGGAAGATATGAAAAAGTATATATCTCAGTCTTAGTTCTCAATCAACGTAGAAAAAAATTAAAGATCTTACTGGTCTTCAATTTTTTCTCTGATTCAGAAAAATTGCACAAAAAACGCGCATGAGAAATAAAAGCTGAAGATGATGAAATGATAATTTTGTCAATTTAAAATAGTTCTGTTATATAGGAAGATATGAAATATAGGAAGATATATATGAAATATAAGAAGATATGAAATATAGAGAGAGATATATGAAATATTATAAGATATATATGAAATATAGGAAGATATGGAATATAGGGAGATATGAAATAGTATATATGTCAGTCTTAGTTCTCAACCAACAGAGAAGAAACTGAAGATCAGTAAGCAACTGATTCAGGAAAATTGTACAAAACCTCACAAGAGAAAAGCTCAAGATAATGAAATGATAATTTTGTTAATCTAAAATAGTACTGGTATATAGGAAGATATGAAATATAAGAAGATATATATGAAATATAGGAAGATAGGAAATATAGGAAGATATGAAATATAGGAAGATATATATGAAATATTGGAAGATATGAAATAGTATATATCTCAGTTTTAGTTCTCAATCAACAGAGAAAAAATTGAAGATATTACTGATCTTCAATTTGTTTCTCTGATTCAGGAAAATTGCACAAAAAACGCGCAAGAGAAATAAAAGCTCAAGATAATGAAATGATAATTTTGTCAATTTAAAATAGTTCTGTTATACAGAAATAAAGTGCCGCTACTGACATTTGTGTTTGAACGCAGGCGATCTTATTAAACTAGGTAGATCACGTGACTATAGAGAAAACGCTTATATAGAGGAAGTCGCGTGACGTCTAAAGTATTCGCTATTTCTACACTATCCCCTATACTAATTCGGACTGCTATTTTCTTCCTATTATACGAAGTACTATTACTACGAGTATTATTCTAAGACGTTTGACACTAGTATTGTTCAACGGCGTATTATAATTGGTATCTGCGATTACAAGGTCTCTACTACATTGGCATTGACGAATTAACAAATTAGTATACGTTTTCATTATAACATTGGCAACAAAGGGTCGTTTTTGACGACATAACAAGTTCCAGTCATCATTTTTTTAAATATCAGCAATTCTCAAATTTCTTCTAAGCTCAGAAATGAATACTAGACGTCCGAATATACACATTTTTCTTTTTATAAATTGTCGGGGGTCATGTATGGGGTATGTGAGACTGAGCCCCTGCAATATTGGGTGTGTCACTATGGAGTTGTATTAGTGGTGTGTGGGGGAGGTATGGCGGTTGTGTGGGTCTGTAAAGACTTGTAGGTGTGAGTGTAGATGTGTTGCTGTGGCAGTGTGTTTGACTGTGTGTGTAAATGTGTGTGTGAAAGGTGAGTGCGAGTGTGAATCTGTCTGTAAGTGTGTATGAATGTGTGCGAAAGAATGTGTGTATTCAGGCGTGTGGGGATGTACGTGTGGATATATGAGTGCGCATGTGTGTAGGTGTGTGGGTTTGAGTTTGGGGAAGCCGTGTGTCCTTGCTTATATGAATGCATGGGAATGTGGTTGTGCAAGTGTGTATGTGTGCGTGTGGGATGAATCCGGAGGCCCTGTGAGTCTCTGTGTGAGAGCATGTATGAATGTGTGTGTGTGTACGCGTGTGAATGTGTATGCGCGGATGTGTGAGTAGTGGGGGGGTAATATTAGGGGTTCCGTGTGTCATTGTTTGAGTGTGCACGAATGTGTGTGTATGATTACGTATGTATGCGGGTGTGTGAGAGTGTTTGCATGGATGTGTGAGTGTGTGAATGAATGCGTTCTTGTGGGTGTTGGAAGTGTGATTGCGTATGTGTGGATGTTTGCGTGTGCAAGAGATTAGATGTGTGTGCGTGCGTGTATGTGAGAGAGTGTGTATATGAGAATGTGGAGGTGGGTGTGACGAGTGCGTGTGAACTGAACATGACAAATCAATTTCCTTCCGCATGAAAAAAAAGGGGCGATGTGTCGATAGATTTACGATGTGCCCGTCCATCTGCAGGCGAACGATTGGAGAAACGGCGAAGAAATACGAAATGATACGGACGTAGCGAAAGAGGTCTGGCTTCGCTATGTGACCAACCGCAGCGAACAGGAAGCAATGAATTGCGCATGCTCATAACTGACCTCAAAGTGGATCAAGCCAAATATAGCGCAAAAAAAAGAAAATGAAACATGATACACAGATTTTGCTTTCCGCTCACAAGAACATAGACTTGGGAAGTTCGACGTGTGGTAATGATTTCCAAGTTGGCCTCGCCAGATCAGTTAAGACTGAGTAGTGAGTTCGATCCTCACTGGGTGTTCCACAATTCTGCCAAAAAAAAGGGCATTTCGACGTACTGTAATGTTTAGCAAACTTGTCTCGCTAGATCAATTACGACTGAATAGGGAGTTCACTCATCGGGTGCTGCCTACTTTCGTCCTTGTGCCGCATCTAAGCTAGGCGTAGAAAGAGAGCCCTTTGACGTGGTGTAATGGTGAGAAAACTTGTCTCGCTAGATCAATTACGACTGAATAGTGAGTTGGATCCTCACTGAGTGCCCCATACATTCGGCCTTGTGCTACATCTAAGCTAGGCTTAGAATGATAGCCTTTTGACGTGGTGTAATGGTAAACAGGCTTGTCTCGCTAGATCAATTACGACTGAATAGTGCGTACGATTCTCACCGGGTGCTTCAAGCATTCGACCTTGTGCTATACTAAGCTACCCTTAGAAAGAGAGCCCTTTGACGTGGCGTAATGGTAAACAGGCTTGTCTCGATACATCAATTACAACTGAATAGTGAGTACGATTCTCACTGGGTGCGCCATACATTCGGCCTTGTGCGACATCTAAGCTACCCTTAGAAAGAGAACCCTTTGACGTGGTCTAATGGTAAACAAGCTTGTCATTGTGTGTCTCATGCATTCGGCCTTGTGCCACATTTAGTCTACGCTTAGCAAATCACCATAAAAATATAGACTAAGCGCCTTTCGGAAGAGAGGTTTGTTTTCTTGCTGTGCAGGGAAGATATGGAGACACTAAGATGATGGCGAAAGAAGCAGTTGGCTTGTATATTTGGTAGGCAAAATGTTACAAAAGTTAAAATAAAAAACCCTTGGAGATGTTGATTAAACATCAACCACAGAACACTTCAGGACGTTGGGTGTGTCACTATGGAGTAATGGCTCTCCACAATTTTCTGTCCTTTGTAGCTCAAAGTAAATTTTGTCTTTCGCTATCTCACCTAAATCATGTTCTGTCATCTATTTACACTCGCTACTGTGTTAATTTGTGCGCTATTTTCCTCTGTCCCTGTGAGCCTCAGATTCTCCAAGTCGTTTCTCCTCACTATTTACCCAAGAAATTTCCACTGTCTCTTCCCGATGTTAACTGTAAATGTCCATTTGGTTTCCATTTTTTCTAAAACTTCTTCGTTGCTCACATATTCGGTCCAATTATATTCTCAGCATCCTTCTGTAGAACCACATTTCTTTTGCTTCACGTCTCTTCTTCATGTTCGATCCATGGTATTCTCTCTTCCCGATGTTAAGTATAAGTGTCCTTTTTGTTTCCATTTCCTCTAAAACTTCGTCGTTGCTCACATGTTCGGTCCATGGTATTCTCAGCAGGCTTCTGTAGAACCACATTTCTGTTGCTTCAAGTCTCTTCTTCATGTTCCATCCATGGTATTCTCTCTCTAAAACTTCGTCGTTGCTCACATGTGGGGTCCATGGTATTCTCGGTATGCTTCTGTAGAACTATATTTCTGTTACCTTATTTAATAAAAATGCCATATTCTTTTGATTATCTTTTCTTTAAGATATATTATATATATATATATATATATATATATATATATATATATATATATATACAAGAATTAAGTTTCCAGTTCGCCCTGCGTTTACGAGAACTATAAACAAATCACGATACCAAACGCTTCAAAAAGTTAGAATTTGACTCCAGAAAGAAATATTTCCGCATGGCCATTTGTATGTTGCATGCTCAAGAGTAAGAAATTCATTCTTCTCCGTTAAGAAGGAAAAAGGAAAATAATAAATTTCTTTAAAAAGGTATTGTTTACCATGAAGTAGTATAAACTTAAATTAAATTAGAGATATTATTAAACGGCGATATATGGTTTTTGTTAAAGTATTTTTCCCAACTAATCAGCTTATTCAAAGTAAATCTCGACAAAATCTGTTAGCGATAACTTCAATAATACTAAATATTGTGAGTATTTCAACATGTGTTAGCTTGTTAATCTGGTATATATATATATATATATATATATATATATATATATATATATATATATGTGTGTGTGTGTGTGTGTGTGTGTGTGTGTGTTGTGCATTTTGGCAACAATCCTTCATTTATGCATGTTTCATTAAAAAAGATAGATAAGTTACTACGATTAAGCTTTTTTATTTAATTTTTATTGTGTTCGAACAAGTATTTGCTTTTTTGGACACAGACTGTATAGGAACTGTCCAAATGTTCTATAATTCCCAGCGCTTTCGGATATACTTTTAGCCATTATCAAGGATGAACATTATCTATGAATTCAAATGTCCCTTAAGGAACTGTGTCCCTGATCAAACCGAATTCATAAATAATTACATCGGTCACACTACTACATGGCTATCCAGACGCCTAACGTTAAACCAATCTGACCACGTCTCTATTAGAACCCATTTAAACACACACACACAAACGTACCAGGCTCCATCCGAAACATACTAGTAGAAAATACAAGCAAAACAACCTCATCTACATGTAAAAAAAAAAAGATTAAAAATAATGGAAGCTTTAATATGAAAAAAGAAAAAAAGCCAACACTTAATAATATTAACTACCAACACGGCCACACTGCGCTAACTGTGTTCGGAAAATAAATCATTTCTATAACACACTTAAAACATAGCCATAACGTACACGCTCAATTAAACGGAAAAAAATATAATCATCCTGGCTAAAAGTATAGCCGAAAGCGCTCGGAATTATAGAAAATTTGGACAGTTTCTGCAGACTCTGTATCCCCCCCTTCAAAAAAAGACTCGTAGTACCCTGTCTGTCGTTTTTAATGAAACATGCATATATATATATATATATTTATTTATATATATATATATATATCATACGTATTATAAAACCCAGGTTGTGTGTGTGTGTGTGTGTGTGTGTGTGTGTGTGTGTGTGTGTTGTGTTCGTGTTCGTTTATATATTGGATCGGATTTCCTACATTTTTCAACCGATTTCAACAAAACTTCACAGGACTACGTAAAATTACCTTGCGGTGGTTCTGACAGCGCCAAAAATTGGAAAAACACAATTGTTTTTGCACAAAATCAATTTGAAAACACGATTAAGAGGCATTTCATATCGAGTTATACTTATAAAACCCAGGTTGTGTGTGTGTGTGTGTGTGTGTGTGTGTGTGTGTGTTATATATGGGATCGGATTTCCGACATTTTCAACCGATTTCAACAAAACTTCACTTTTTTTTTTTTTGGCAGGTAATGTTTCTTATTGTCTTGCACACTTTTTTTATTTATTTTACATTCAGAATGCTTTAAAATTCCATTTACAAGACAATTGTTTATATTAAAAAAAATTCTATTCAATCGGTAGACTCATAACGATTGAAAATAATGTTTTTGTTTGAGTTTTGGTTTGACCAATTCGTAAAAAAAAAAAAACTAATTAAGACATGCGTGTCCATCAACCTTAAACAATAATCTTTGTCAATTTTATTTTTCAGTCTTTATGATGGTCGATACTTGATCTATCACTTACTGTTACATCCCCGGGCAACGCCGGGCTCTACTGCTAGTATATATATATAAAGATATGTTTAGTGGTACAAAATTTTATGACTGTCATGAACAGACAAAAATTAGTTTTATTATTACTGAAGAATAAAAAATGAAAAACGGGGCTAGCGAACCGGTTACTCCAACACCTTTCAGGTGGTAATTTGAGTGGGACTTGCTAAGGATGCTGTTAGTTTTAGTGGTGACGCTTTTACCACCCTTAGTCCCACTTAGTCCCACTCAGATTACCATCTTAAAGTGTTGGAGGCCATCTATATTCTATCATTAAAACCTTCTCTTTGTAAACAGAAGGCCTCTAACTAATTACCATTTAATTATTTTTTTTCTTTCCCACCTAAACATTTTTTTTATATCATATAATTTACTTTATTTACCGCGATTTAGCTGTGTTGAGCGAGGTACGAAACCGGTTAGCTAGCCCGTTTTTCATTTTTACTTTTTATTATCATGAGTGGTAATAATAAAACTAATTTTTGTCTGTTCATGGCAGTCATATATATATACATACATATTGTCATCCACAGACTAACTGTTTCGCAGCTCATCAGTGTGACTAGACATCCAGTTGCCTCTAGCTAGGATCGAAACCCGATTGAATTGGCGTCAGTTGGGGATTCTACCACTAAGCCGTTGGCGCACGGCAGGGAAGAAGGTGAATTTTAAGTGTATTTATTTTTAGATAAACACCCAGTGACTGAGAGAATTCAATTGATTTACCGAAGAGTCTTGAATTATTAGCCATAATAGTCACTGTTTACAAACTCACATTTCCTCCCCAGAGAGCTCAACTGAAATAAATTTTTATATATATATATATATATATATATATATATATATATATATATATATATATATATATATATAAAAAAGAAGAAGAGAGGTGCCGCAAAGGTTTTTGGTTGTAATGTGGATTTATTTAGAAAAAAATATTATGCTTTGTTTTACATAATTTTACTACACGTGTTTCTGGTCTCGCGACCGTCTTCAGGTAAAAGCGGAGATTTCCACATATTATTAAAAATAATTAATTTTTCCTTATGTTTTTCAATGTTAAATATTCTCGATATGAGACATTTTCTGTTTTTGTGTTAGCAATCCGAATGTCTTTCTTGAATTCAAGAAAGACATTCGGATTTTTTTTTGATGATCATCACTTGATAAGTCACTGGGAGTGTTGAAACAAAATGGCTATTTTTGTAGTGATTTTATAACATGTTTATGTTATAAATCTTTTAAATAAATAATTATATATATATATATATATATATATATATATATATATATATATATGTATGTATGTATCCAAAGAAAATAAATATAGATATATTACGCACAAGACGTTTCTCTTGAGGTAACTCAACGACAAGCAAACGTATAAGTGTATAATTATAATTTATATGCAATATAATATCTACGTGCATCCCTGCTTTGATGCAAGCATTAATGTTGACTCATATCTGTGCATATGCAAGTCTTCTCTACCGAGCTAATTTTCTTCGCGAATACAAACTTGTTGACATGCCTACAAGATCTACTCAATGGTTCAGAAAACTGTTGGTCGGTTGCTAAAGCGGAAGTGATCTCGCAACACGTGGACAGTTGTTTGTGATTAGATGTCACAGCTTCCGTCGCTTTGCGTCACCATTCTTCTTTAGCGTCCATTTTTCTGATGAAATGTTGTTTGTGATTTCGGACAGGAAATCCCGTCTAGCTACGTAGAATCCACAGATGTTGATCAATCATCGCTTATGACGTCAGTTGATTTCATCATGTAAGTCTAAATATCGAAAATTCTGACCGTGTTATATTTTTTTTGTTGTTGCTGTTGTTGTTGTTTTCCTTTAATTCTTGCGCATGCGCGCTCACTTTTTGATCAAAAAACAATAAAACGACAAAGAAAGTTCTAGTAACTTATATTTCATACGGAAATATAGAAAGATCTAAACTACACTATTTACATTATTCGGGCTATTGTCCTCATCTATGTCGCCATATTTATTACAACATTTCGGCCGTTTTACGCTCCGGTCTTCTTCAGGTGGTTGGAATGTCGAACTGAACCTTTTATTTCGCTAACTGGGGTAGACTGTTCTAGTTCCACGTGCCAAGTTTAATGGATGTCAGTTATCAGTTATCTCCTGTTAATTTCCCACTGAAAGTTCTGCCGGATATTGAACTCCAGTGAGCGAAATAAAGGGTTCAGTTCGACATTCCAACCACCTGAAAAAGGCCGGGGCGTACAACGGCCGAAACGTTGTAATAATTATGGCGACAAAGATGAGGACAATAGTCCGCTGCGTCTTAGCTCCGGCCTTCTTCAGATGGTTGGAATTTCGAACTGAACCCTTTTATTTCGCTCACTGGGGTAGACTGTTCTAGTTCCACGTGCCATGTTTAATGGATGTCAGTTATCAGTTATCTCCTTCTAATTTCCCTCTGAAAGTTCTCCACTGCCTTAACTGGGTATTGAACTCACACTCTTTGGGTCCTGTGACTGGATCGCGTACATTAAACTTTACAGCCACTAGTATTCTCAGCCGGTCACCCATCTAGGTACACATGCACATCTATCCTTACAAAAGCTGTGTTTCCCAAGCGGTCACCTATCTTGGTGCATCAGGGGATCCTAGCTTACAACGCCTGATATTCCCAAGAGGTCACCCATCTACTTACATAGTTGTATCTATAAAAAAAAAACAATGTATGAACATAAAAATGTCTTAAAATATATATATATATATATATATATACATATATTAATGCATGTTTCATTAAATAATGTAGACAAGTTTTGTCTATTTTAAACAAATTCCTTTCATATCGTCTGATAAGCTTAATAACATTATCATTGAAAGACGAAAGAAAATCACCATATTGATACATGTTTTTTTATCCTGTCTAAGCTTTCGGCTTACATAAGCGATTATCAAAGATGACAATTACATTACAATAAATTAATGTCATCTCTTGTCATCTCTGAGAGGCTATATTGGTGATCTAAAGTTTGGATTTAATCGGCTAGTTGCTATTTATAATTATGAGGTATTTTACTAGAATATAATGTAAGTTTTACACGTTACCTTGAGTAGAGCATGTTGTTTTTGTAACCGTGTTATTTCACTTAATTTGATAGCCATGTCTTAACATGATAAAGAAAGATATAAAATACTTTTTTAAAAATTGTTATCGTTTTTTTTTTTTTTGCGGGAGACCAGTTTAAAGATTAAGTTCAGGTTCAAAATCGTAGGGTTGCAATTTGATTCCGGTGATCAGTGAAAACCTTATAGCACAGGTTTATAAAACTTAGAATTTACTGAAGCTTCACAAATTGTATGTGAACAAGATGCACGGCACAAGCGCATTATTACTAAATAATTGTGCCATCAAATAAGAACTTCATTTGCTTCAAAGGGAAATTATACTGAACAATTTAGCTATATTGTTATGGAATACGTTTTACGGTGAAGTAGTTTAGTGTGATTTTCAATGAACAATGCAAATTAAAATTTTATCTTATAATTTGTGCCCAGTAGTATTATGGTGTCATATACACCATTATGAAACATTTCTCAGAGTTAACCTGTAGAAAAAGACAATATTTATAAATGTAATTGATAATAGGAAAACTGTAATAGTTGCCAACGCGTTTCGTCCAATGTGGACTTTCTCAAGTAAATTACATCATTTACTGTCACGTGTGGAGATAAATGATGTAATTTCAGTTAATAGTATGAAAATAGCGTTTTCTAAATTCTTCCTGTTGCTAAGGACATTTTGTTTTGTTATTATTAGTTATTTTGTTTAATAAATTCATTTCGTTTTTTTGCCTCGAGAAAGTCCACATTGGACGAAACGCGCCGGCAACTATTACAATTTTCCAATTCTCTTTTACATTTATAAATACGCCATTATGCATTTTTTGTCTTTATTAATTATGATCTAACAAATTATATAACAAAGCCTTTTTTTGCAATCTTTTACAATTTTTTACAGTTTTTACATACCGAATACATTAAAAAATGCATATTTTGCCTGTGGTGATTCATAATTTGAATTATGGTTTGAATATATTTTCCGTACAATATATCTAATACATAAGGTATCAAATTTTATTTGGATTTATTCTTGAAACAGTAAAATTTTGAAGTCAGCTTATAAGTAAATGCCAAAGGTAATTAGGTATTTTGGTACATTTTTCCGATGATATTTAAAACTAAATTCTCAAAAATTGCTAAGATCTATGAATCTAATTTTTGGTGGCAGTACTTAGCACATCAAACCCCAACTTTCACATCCAGTGCAATTTCGATTTTCTGAAAAAGGGAAAAATCAAACTGCCTTCTTGCTCGAGTCGACGAATGAAATGTCTGGTTTTATGAGGCGTGTTCTACTTAGAAAATCCTTGAAAGCCATGCCACAGATTTTTCCGGGCCTGGTGAATTAAATTGGGCACATTAAACGGCTTCCTGTTCTACCACGAAGGTACAAGCCCGAGATTTAATTGACTCTACCTCCAATGAGTGAGGTTGACACACAAGGTCGGTTTTTAACGTCTGGGCCCAACTGTTTCCAATCGGGCGAGTGGTCCAAGTTGGTCTTAGTTTGTCTAAGATGGTTTTAGCTGGTCATAGCTTGTCTAAGCTGTCCAAAGCTTGTCCAAGCTAGTTTTGGCTGGCCATAGCTGGTCCAAGTTAGTTTTGGCTGGTCATAGCTTGTCTAAGCTGTTCAAAGCTTGTCTAAACTGGTTTTAGCTGGTCATAGTTTGTCTAAGCTGTCCAAAGCTTGTCCAAGCTAGTTTTGGCTGTTCATAGCTTGTCTAAGCTGGTGATAGCTTGGCTAAACTGTTCAGAACTTGTCTAAGCTGGTTTTAGCTGGTCATAGCTTGTCTACGCTGTTCAAAGCTTTTCTAATCTGGTTTTAGCTGGTCATAGCTTGTCTAAGCTGTTCAAAGCTAGTCTAAGCTGGTCATAGCTTGTCTAAGCTGTTCAAAGCTTGTCTAGGCTGGTTTTAGCTGGTTATACCTTATCTAAGCTAGTCTTAGCCGGTCATACCGCCGCTACATAACAGATGTCATGCCACAGTGGGGGAGAGAAGAGGGAAGGGCTCCAGCACGGAACAGATACTACATCTGTAGCATCTATCCCGACGGGAAGAAACCTACTTCTCCTCCTCTGCCAATCCCCCCAGAAGAATCCGGGGGTGGGGGTTAATCCCCGCGTACAAACCCTCGTAACGGATAACTGATCACGCCAGTTTATGCGCTTTCTCCCAGAAATTGCAGCCAAGGTCCGCCAACATTGGCCGCAGTATAAACTACAGTTTGGTTGCGTGGGTGTTTAAGAAAGACAAATATGTCTGAGCGGGTATCTGCAGTAGTGATTAACTTGACACCCTAGCAAACGAGTATACTGGGAAAATGAGCAGCCAGCCATTACTAACATTATCATGCATATGCGTTGTCTTCTTTCTTTCTTTCTTTCTTTCTTTTCTTTTCTTTCTTTCTTTCTTTCTTTTCTTTTCTTTCTTCCTATCTTTCTTTGCTTTTCTCATTTATTTACTCCAATAGCCTTTCTTTTTTTCTTTCTTTTCTTTTCTTTTCTTTCTTCCTTTCTTTCTTTGCTTTTCTCATTTATTTACTCCAATAGCCTTTCTTTCTTTCTTTCTTTTCTTTTCTTTCTTCCTTTCTTTCTTTGCTTTTCTCATTTATTTACTCCAATAGCCTTTCTTTCTTTCTTTCTTTCTTTTCTTTTCTTTCTTCCTTTATTTCTTTGCTATTCTCATTTATTTACTCCAATAGCCTTTCTTTCTTTCTTTCTTTCTTTCTTTCTTTCTTTCTTTCTATTTCCAAACATCTTTCTTCATAAATTTGCTCTGTAGTCTATTCATTCATTTTTCTTTCTTTCCTTCTAACTTTCTTTCATTTTTCTTACATTCTTTCTTTTTCTTTTTCTTTCTTTCTTTTTCTTCCTTTCTTTTTCTATTTTCTTTCTTTCTTTTCTTACTTTCTTTCTTTTTTTACTTTTCTTATTTATTTACTCCAGTAGCCTTTCTTTCTTTATTTCTTTCGTTCTTTCTTTCTTTCTTTCTTTCTTTCTTTCTTTGCTTATCTTATTTATTTATTCCAGTAGCCTTTCTTTCTTTCTTTCTTTCTTTCTTTCTTTCTTTCTTTCTTTATTTCTTTGCTTTTCTTATTTATTTATTCCAGTAGCCTTTCTTTCTTTCTTTCTTTCTTTCTTTCTTTCTTTCTTTTCTTTCTTTCTTTGCTTTTCTTATTTATTTATTCCAGTAGCCTTTTTTTTTCTTTTTTTTTCTTTTCTTTCTTTCTTTCTTTCTTTCTTTCTTTGCTTTTCTTATTTATTTATTCCAGTAGCCTTTCTTTCTTTCTTTCTTTCTTTCTTTCTTTTGTTTGGTTCGTTAGTTCGTTCATTCTTTATTTCTTTCTATTCTAACCATCTTTCTTGATAAATTTACTCTTTAGTCTATTCATTCATTTTTCTTTGTTTCATTCTTTCTTTCTTTCTTGATATATACATATATGCGAATGCGCATGCGTGTAATTCTCTCCATAGCTTTTCATTTTCATTTAACATATTCTATTGCATGTCATATTCGTAACGTTTACGAACGTCTGTTCATAATTAATTGTTCCTGCCTTATAGAAGTAACATTTTTTTCCTTTTTTAAATAAATGATAAATGCATCTTGGAAAATCATGTTTGTCGGTAATCCGCGTTCCCTTCAACGTCCAAACTTTCATATTATTCGAGGAAGAATTTTTGAGAAGAAAAGAAAAACTGACAAAAATGTCCGTTCGAAATGTTAAAGTTCTTCTTCAGTTGTTCCTTTGATATTTACAATATCAAATCTCTCATAGCAAGAAAGAAAGGAAGGAAGGAGGGAAGGAGGGAAAGACGGGCGTGAAGGAGTGAAGGAGAAACGGAAAGAGGAAGGGAGGGAAGGAGGAATGAAAGAATGGAGAAAAAAGGAAGGGCGAGGAGGAGACATGAAGGTAAGAATAAAAGAAGGAAGGAAGGAAGGAAGGAAGGAAGGAAGGAAGGAAGGAAGGAAAGAAATTGGATGAAGTGAGGAAAGAAAGTTGGTGGCAAGGAAGGATAAAGGAAGGTTGAAAGGAATGAAGTAAAGAAGTAAGGAATGGAAGAAGGGAAGAAAAGAAAGGAAGGAAGGAAGGAAGGAAGGAAGGAAGGAAGGAAGGAAGGAAGGAAGGAAGGAAGGAAGGAAGGAAGGAAGGAAAAATTAGAAAGGAAGGAAGGAAGGAAAAATAAGAAAGGAAGGAAGGAAGAAGGAAAGAAGGGAGGGATGAAGTAAGGTGGAAGAAACGAAGGAAGGAAGGAAAGAAAGAAAGAAAGAAAGAAAAGAAAGAAATAAGGAAGGAAGGGAGGGACGAAGTAAGGAGGAAGGAAGGATAAAGGAAGGATAAAGGAAGGAAGGAAAGGAAGGAAGGTAAGGAAGGAATGCAACGAGATATTAAATGATAACAGTAATAACTGCTGTAAATATGAAATGAAAATGGCGACATGAAAGCAGAATAAAATTAAGGAATTGGAAGTAAAAATGAATAAAATGAAAGAAAAAATAGAATAAATAAAAATGTAGAATTGAGAGCAGAATGAACTTAAAATCTTAGTAGAAAAAAAGAAAAAATGAAAGAAAGAAAAAAAAAGAAAAAAGAAAGAAAGAAATAGAAATAGGGCAGAGAAAAGAAGGAACATGGAAATGAAAAAAGCGACTAATGTAAACAATATTTAGACCAAAAGAAAGTGCAAGAAATTTGGCAAAACCTATCGGCCGAGAGAATAGTAACAGTCTCCAAGATAAATAAATAAAAGATGTTTTGGCTGGTGAAGAGGAAGGTCGTGACAGAATCGAGTCAATGTTTGTCGAGTGAACGGGAAAACGGAAACCTCCTCGGATGAAAGATCTACGTCATTCCTCACGTCGGACGATATTCTGCGTTGGGGTTGAAAAAAAATCTACGAGCTGAACGAAATGCGCGCGAAAAAGTTACCAGCTAAGGTTGGTCGTACGGGTGTGAGGGGGTGAGGGGGGGTGAGAGGGTGAGAGGGTACTATTTATGGCTTGAAATTTACGTTGATGGAAAGCAGGGTTAGGCTTTACTCCCCAAATCGCTGAAGACTCAAGCGTGAAGAAAAACACACAAGCACACCCACACACACAAACACACAAACACATACACACACACACACATGGAAACACACTTACATGCGCACAGAGACGTACAGACACCAATACGCATAAAGTCAAGAGAAAGAGAAAAGGAGGGAGAAAGGAATAATGACTAAAATACGAGTAGATATACAACCACATGTCCAAAAATAAAGTAACATGTTGTCATAAATCTCTTTCACTTTCACTTTCAGTTTCGATTTTCTCTACATGTGTCTCTTTCACTGTATATGTATGATCATTTTCTAAGCGTAGCCAAGATGTGACACAAGGCCGAACTTATAGGGCACCCAGTGAGCACTGAACTCACGTCGTAACAGTTCTATGATACAATTATGCTAACAAATACATCACGTCGAGGTGCTACACTATATCTATCTATCAATCTATCTGTGTGTGTGTCTCTCTCTCTCTCTCTCTCTATATATATATATATATATATATATATATATATATATATATAGTGATTTTCCAAGTGCACAAGGCCGAAAGTATGGAGCACCCAGTGAGAATCGAACTCACTACTCAGTCGTAATTGTTTTAGCGAGACAAGCTTGTTAATCATTACACCGTCAACAGGTGCCCAACAAAAAAGATTTTCTAAGCGTAGCTTAGATGTGGCACAAAGTCGAAAGATTAAGGCACCCAGTGCGGCTCGAACTCACGTCGTAACTGTTCTATGATACAAGCTTGCTAACAATTACACCTCGGCGAGCTGCTACACTATATCTATCTATCTATCTATCTATCTATCTATCTATCTATCTATCTCTCTCTCTCTCTCTCTATATATATATATATATATATATATATATATATATATATATATATATATATATATATATCTGATCCTTTCCAGTTCGCTAATCACTTTCTGGTTGTTAAGATGAAATTTATCAAGGAAGGCGCCGTACTTTTTTCTAAACCAAGTACTTTCAACCTTTTCCAAGATCATCTTTAAGGGTAAATTACAAAGATAAATATATTGTCACTCCCATTGGCTTCAACTATGGCCTCCAGACAACTTCGTTATCTCCTGCAACTCTTCTGGACGGTCTCCTTGTTTAAAATGGTGAATGCTACCATAATCCTTGCCTTCAAGTCATCTTTGGTTTTAAATGTAGTTTTGTTGGTCTCTCGCTCAACTGCGACCCACACATTATAATCAAAGAGGTTGCAGTTTGGGGAGTTAGGGGTGATATGATTGTAGAAATTGCCCCACAGTCATGACTGGGTTCCTACTTGTGTGGTATGATGCAGAGTAATTTTGCCAGACATAGGGTCTTCCAGAAGGCACACCCTTGAACCAGAGTAACACTTCATTCCGAAGGCACTTGATGTAGGCTTCCGTGTTGAGTCTGAGGCCCAATGGAGGCATAACGTCGTTATCAACTGGGAACACTCCAGACACCTTTGTAGTCACCATTAGACTCATCCAACACTTTTCGAATCCTTTAGACTTTCCTCAGATTGACACCCAAACACTCTGAAATGTTCATGGTAGAGCTTCCAGCACGAATGCTAAGCAGTACAGCATGCGGTTTCCAAGTTTCTGCCCGAGTGAATTGAGTCATGGTGCTCTTTTTCTCACGGACGGTGTCCAACTGACCCTAATATACTGTGTGATGTCCAGCTACTCGTTTCTGAGCTCGCTCGTCTCCTAAAGCATCTAGGCATCTCAGGCATATTTCTATTTGTTCAGCATCCACTTAGCCCATCTGTGGTATACACTGCAACTGAGCGGACTTTAGTTACAGTTTTGGGAAGATAGAGAGAGAAAACGCATCATCTGGCGTGATCAATAGTCTGAACTAGGCCATTACGCCCGAAAACTCAGTCACGATGAATTGTAAATTCTCCGAACAGTTCTGCCTCCCCAGTTTCACTCACAAAGCTTGGCTCAACTCCTGATATGGTTCTCCAAGGATGTCACACGCTGAGATCGCATCCCAAGACCAATAACAAAAGTTCACCTTCCTGACGAATCGATTATGGTCTCATTGTCTGAAATTGAACGTTCTAAACACTCACCAATAGACACACACACACACACACACACACACACACATATATATATATATATATATATATATATATATATATATATTGAGACATTTTTTTATGTTTTATACGTTCTTTTTATAAAAATTAAAAATAAATAAAAAATGTCTTTAAAATAATTGTTTGACTTTTTGTCCATTTTAATATATATATATATATATATATATATATATATATATATATATATATATATAGAGAGAGAGAGAGAGAGAGAGAGAGAGAGAGACATTTTTATGTTTTATACGTTCTTTTATAAAAAATTAAAAATGAATAAAAATGTCTTAAAATAATTGTCGGATTTTGTCCATTTTTTTATAATATA